ATGCCAGTGTTCACAAAGCAAAGTGATGCCGACAACTGTTACATGGTTCCGTAGTAATAATCATAGGTAAGAGAGTGTGAAGTTGTTAGAAGTTAGCTAACAAAGGCTTCAACAATGAAAATAACATTAATAATTTAGTATGTTTAAAAAAAAAAAAAAGTAGTGAGAAACAAACCTGACTTCATTCGTTGACAAAATAATAAATGTAGTTGATAAAAGCACTGGGGCAGATTTAACAAATCAAGAAATTCGTAAATTCTGAAGAAGAAATAATAGTGTATGTATACATCATAATTTGCATTATGTGGATTAATTACTAGCTAACAGACAAATGGCACAAATTCATTGTCCAAAAAGAAGCAGCAATCACTGCTGAAAGTGTGTGCCTTCCTGCAAGAACCGTGCTGTTTAATATTTGCATCAGGAGATAACAATTGTAAAAAATATTGCTGATAAAATTTGCAAATGGCAAGATCAGTAGCTAAAGCAGAGGGAGTCCTTCAGATCAACCCAAGTCCCCTGACCAGCTGAACATACTGAAACAAGGCACAATGCTCAGTAATACCAGTGGAGTCTCCTCAGGTGCTGGACCACCACGCTGTCTCAATGCTGTTGATCCATGAATCCTTATCAGTTGCCTGACCCATGGGAACACCTAAGAGTGACCATGGGCAGAATGTAACTGCTGGTGGAAGCAGTTGTATCATTTCCTCTTCGTTTTTGATGCGTTACCAATAAATAAGTATTTTTAGTTCCAATGGTTGTCTTCTGTCTGTGCACCTCGCACATCGCTCTGTGGAGTCAAGCAGCCCCACACTGAGTAGGAAACCACCTGGGACTCGGGAAGGGGAGCTCTAAGGGACCCTTGGTATCAATACCAGTCCCCTTACTCCCAGAGGCTGCTACTCTGGAGCAGGACTCACGGAAGCTTTTTGTACCTCCTGCTGTATCCAAAGACACCCCCAGATAATCGGTGGGGGTGCAACAGCTGGCCTCTGTGCAGCCAGGGAAGAAGGACAAGCTGCCGAGAGTGGGAACCTCGTTGGCCACCACTGGAGAAGTCACTGTCACCTGTGATTGACAACGCCGAGTCGGAAGCCCAGCAAAGCCTGAAGCTGAAACACTCATCGGCAGTGCAGGCACCCACGTGGGTTTTTAATATGTTGAAAGCTTGGAGGTGGTCCAGAGAAAAATGACAGGACCGATTAGGAAGGTCAGAAAATGCCTTATAGGGGGCACTTTGAGACATTACTCTGGTCTTCCTAAACCAGTATCCTTCAATTACACCACAGAAAATAGAGTACTGGTGGCACCCTAACTTGCAGAGAAAGGCACAGTGAGAATCAACAGCTGCAAGTTATATTTAGGCATGTTCAGAGTAGAATAAGACATAATATACCCAATTATGAGGATGATTCTCCTAGCCATCTGCCAATAAAAAAGGTAGACTATCTCTCAAGGTCTTCAAATAAAGGCCACATTACCTTGTTCAAGCTGTCCTTTAATGATTTTTTTTTTTAAAAAGTTAATAACATCAGTTAAAAGAGACACTGGGTAAAATTCCAAGGCCTGTGCCACACATTAAGTGAGAGCTGGGGGTTTGTCTGCCTTTTTGGACCATAAACTGACATAAAGGAAAGAAAAATATAAGGGAGAAATGCAAGAAATGTGTTAGGAGTGGCTGTATTCCTTGTAGGGACAAATGTTCCAATGCACTTGATTTTATTCAATGACCTGCTCTTTGATGCTCCCCACTAGAGTTGCTATGGGGAATCCATAATTACTGTGTCCCTGAAGGTCTCATGCTGAATTTAAACCACAAAAACAAGTAAAGCATATAACCTAAAGCAGAAAAGGTAGTACTTACTGATAAACAAAGTGTTTAACAACAATGATCCTTACATTTTAAATATAAAACACTTATTACACACATGGTATTGGAAAATACCATGAAAAGATTGAAAGTTCATCAAAGATAAACTTGATTGCATTATAAAGACATGTATAAATAATATTATATGTTCTGCGTCTCTGGGAGAGAACCACGCTGCCTTCCAAGGTCAAATGTGCCATGGCCAAGAGCCACATGGCATCAATGCCTGGCCACATGAATTGAGAAGCAGGAATCTCGTTATGATCTGATTAGCTGCTAGTCAAACCAAGCTGTTATCAGGTATACTGTGTCTCTACAAATAAATATTAAATGTAGGTGTTTTAAACAAGTTCTTTAGGATAATTATTTGATAGAAGACATGAAATTTGATACAGATTTTGCCAACCTGGAAAACATTAGATTAAGTTATTTGCACTTGGGTCAACATAAGATTACTTAGGGGCTGTGGCTGCATTGTATTGTGAATATGGACAAGCCCAAACTTCTAATGTGGTATTGAAAGAGTAGTCATTGCAAACAACAAAGCCAAGCTCAGGATTATCTTTCCCACATAGGTTCCCCTTGCTTGATTATGCCTCTGCTCATGCAATTTAAGCTAGCAAAATAGATCCAGCAGTCTAACTACATTGGTTTAGATACACTTCATGAACATAGCTGAAGCTCAGCTGGTACGTGCCTCAAAGAGAGCATACATTAACTAGAAGAGACAGTGAAGTGCCTAATGCACTTCAAAGCTTCTTAAAAGCCCATGGACATCAGGTAGTTTTTCTCAATAGCTGGATACCTCTTTTCATAGAGAAGGTCATCTCACACCTATACAACAGCTGCTCCTCCTTAGCACTGCCTGCAAGAACACCGTGCCTGGGCTTCTCTCTGTGAAGAGTATGAAATAATGATCAGAGTCTTCACTAGCACTGTGTGTTTGCTTTTCTTAGTAACAGCAGTCTTCTGCATTGATCACTTTCTCTGGCCTATCCTTCATCTGGGCTTCACTGACGGGAGCAATGATAAGCTACAACAGGTAATGAATCTCCCGTAAAATTCCACACTCTCCCCCTCTCAAAGGCAAAAGACAAAAAGGGGAAAGAAAAAAAAGGGAAAACGGAAAAGGACTGGGCTTTTCTCAAAGCCTCCAGCTCTGTTACAACCACACCCTAACTGGTATCCCAGACAAAAGCATGGGACACATGCTTCCTTCCACAGCATATGTGTCATGCTAAATCAGCTTCTCCCAGCACACAGAATGGTGGGTTTTCATGCATCTCCCTTCAATGACTGATGAGCAGATGATTAAAAATGGCAGATGCACCTTCAGGATGAAAATTAGCTGAGAAGCTCAAAAGAGCACATCTGGAGTGGAGAGGGCTGATTTCTATTCCCTCATGCTTTTACAATTCTATGATAGACTCATTAAGGTTGGAAAAGACCTCTAAGATCATCAAGTCCAACCGTCAACCCAACACTATCATGCCTACTAAACCAAGTGCCACGTCTACACGTTTTTTGAACACCTCCAGGGATGGTGACTCCACGACCTCTCTGGGCAGCCTGTTCCAATGCCTGACCACTCTTTTGGTGAAGAAGATCCAATCTAAACCTCCCCTGATGTAACTTGAGGCCATTTCCTCTCATCCTGTCGCTAGTTACTCAGGAGAAGAGACCAACACCCACCTCACTACAACCTCCTTTCAGGTAGTTGTAGAGAGTGATAAGGTCTCCCCTCAGCCTCCTCTCCTCCAGATTAAACAATCCCAGTTCCCTCAGCCACTCCTCGTAAGACTTGTTCTCCAGACCCTTCACCAGCTTTGTTGCCCTTCTCTGGACAAGCTCCAGCAG